ATTTATAGATATTAGAAATTTTCCGTTTACTTAGTTTTTTATTCTATAAACGTCGATAAAATTTTATTCATTGGGTCAAAAACTTTAAAATTTAATCCCCATAAGTCATAAGTTGATATAATAGTAGTTAGAAGATATTAAAAATGTATAGGCAGGTTTTTTTTATAACCATTTAAAGTTCAAACTTTGACAAAATGTATTTAATTGAAAATTTACAAATTCTTTAGTTGTTAAAAATTTAAAACAAGGTTCCACGTAAATAGTTGATTCTGTGACAAAACGAAAAAAATCTAAAAACTATACAAACATAGTTTTTTTATAGTTATTTTAAGTTCAAGGTTGAATGAAAATTTCATATTAAATAATTAAGAATAACAGTTTTAGTTATATTGTTGTAATTTAAAAATATTATTCGTAGGTACTTAAAATTTCTAGAGTATACCTAGTACCTACTTTATATTCTAGCTAATATTAATACTTTATAATAAATTGTATATACCTTCTACGAATGACTGAGTGAGTCAGGTATGATTGTATGAATCTGATTTGATTAATTTGGAATTTATTTTATAGATACCTACATTTTTTTTTTTTTTTTAATTACAATACCTACAATTAATATAATATAAATACCCTAGAGGCCTAGACTGACAAACCATATCCACTCAGAATCGTTTTTCGTATACAATTATAATATCATATCATTGAATTCAAATTGAATACCATTCATTATAGTAACCAGGGCCGGATTAAGATTTTTTGCGCCCCGGGGCAAACCTACCTAAAATTAAGAACTACTTTTTAATAATACATAAACATAACATTGTTTTACTATAAATTATAATTTGGCTATTATTATATAATATTAGAAATATATTAAAATTATATGAAAACAATCTTTTTAACTTTTTAAATGTATTTAACCTTTAAAATCTTGCGTTTGGGGGCAGATGCCCCCTCTGCCACCCCCCTTTAATCCGGCCCTGATAGTAACCCACTTGTAACTTACTATAGGTACAGCAAAGCGACGTCCACTTACCCGTTTCTTTTTTGTTTTTATATGATCGATCTCACTTAGCTGAAAAAATATTGATCAAACCGTATTTATTTACTAGATATAATACCTGTATAGTGTATACAGTTACGAATAAAATAAAACGTGTATTGCATTACATTATTATAGCTATAATTTAATATTAATTAATTTCCAAGATATAAAATATAAATATCAGTACATATTTACAAAGTTAGGTAGGTATTAGCTTGTATATTTATATTTGGACATTAAGGTTATTATTTTTTATAACATCAAGCTACACGCTTGTTGAATTTTATAAGGATCGCTTAATTCTACTTTTAAAGAAACTTCTGAAATTATACATCTCTCTGCGAGTATAAGTACTTAAGTAGTGTAAAGAAGATAAAACCGTTTGTTTTAAATTAAAGTATAATATATTTATTTTTATTAAACATACACATAACATTTGAGGACAGAGAACAACTTAATACTTATTACTTCAGCTCTAACCAATGGCCAATATGTTAGTTTAAATTAATCTTATTGTGTGTGTGTAACAACTAACAATATTATAATTTTCCAGTTATAGTTGAGTCTTGAGTCTTGACACACCATAATATTATAAAATTTAAACATTATAATGTTGGGTGCTCAATCAATAAACAATAGAGATTAATTTGAATTGTAAATGCGCGAGAATAAAATAAAAAATTAAAGTTTAAAATAATTTAAATATGATATAATTATATACATATAATTTTTAGTCATATTCATAATTCATATTCTCATATACGTTATGTAGGTACTAATGTAGTATATTATTCTCATATGTATAGAATATAGATATATACTTCACGCCACTTGAGTTTAAAATTGTATGTACCTACTCGACTCACCAGTCGACAGGTGCTCCAGGACTCGGTGACAAAAAAAAAAAATCTAAAAATATTCTCGCGGATTCCTTTGTGTTTGGTGTGTCTTTCATTGTCACCCTCCTACCGCGAAGGTACCGCCAGAAATATTCGTTGTATACTTGTTTTATAATTCGCATTGCTGCAGCTGAAAACGTGGCTGGTTGCTTACTGAATATTTTTATCATAATATTCGTATAATAATAGTACCTTCTTCCTATTTCTCTATATCATTATTTTTAATAAGTATTATTTCATTTGGCTAATGAATTCATAGGCGCAATTAGGTGGGGGCTAGGGGGCTTAGCCCCCCCAAATACGTAAGCCATGACTTACGTATTTTTTATTTGTCATAGAAATTAGAAATTTTTTTTTTTAATTAATAAAACAATGACACAAAAGCGATTTTCAAATTTATCAATAATTAATATTGAAAGGGATCTAACAAATAGTTTAGAGACAAAAACAATTATTGATAAATTTAGAGCAGCTAATAGAAAATTAGTATTTTATTGAATAATATCTTAATTAAAAATTRACATGTATTGTGTATTTATTTATTTGTCAGTAGCCATCCGGTTTATAAGCTTTTGGGGGTGCGGGGGCGATGCCCCTGTGGGTTAGTGTGACTTATACAATTTTAGCCTCTCTTAGTGCACTCCTAGCCCTCGAAAATCCCCCCCCCCAAAAAAAAAAAATTGTCCCTAGTTGCGCCTATACTAATTATTTAAATTATTTCTATATGTGTTTATTTTTAAAATATAATACCTAATATGAGCCTTAACTAGTTGGTTAATTTTAAAATCAAATTAACTAATTTAATTGACAGTTGTCAGTTGAAATTACATACCTACATTTTCTCAGTTGATTTAAAAATAATTCATTAAGAAAAAAATGTTATTGACATTTTTCGTTTTTGTAATCTAATACGTAAATATAAATTTAAAATTAAAATAACCTAATACCTACTATAATAATACATAAACATTTCAGTTATTTTTCTTGATAAAATAATTTTTTATACCTGTAGGTATACACGTAGGTATATTTTTGTAAATCAAAAAGACAAAATATATTATGACCTCAAATTAATATTTTTTAAATTTTTAATAAATTAAGATATGTATAATTTAAATATCTAATTATCATGCTAAGATAGGTATTTATACGTTATACACTGTACATTACAATAAAAGTTCAATCAAATTATTTATTTAAAATAAATTTTATAAATTAGAAAGAACGAAGTGATCTACATACTATTTTTTTTTTTAATAGATTAACTTTTTTTTATGTGTTCTAATTTAATATTTATTTCCATATTAACTTTGAATTAAGTTAATAGTTTTTCCACTTATCGACTTAAATGTATGATTTGTTACCTAACTATTAATAATTTCTAACTATTTAAGTTTGTGATCTCTTAAGTTAACTTAATTTGAGTTAATTATTTTCATTAACTTGTCCTTGACCATCCTAGTCTATAGATTATATGACGAGATGTACGAGACTCGAGAAGAAGCCCTCGGTATCATTAAATTTAAGAGATACGTTTTACATGTGGCCATCCCGTTTTAGCCAAACACATGATATTATAACATTTTAAATTAAAATTTACTTCTAAAATTATTGTGATATTGTGCACCTAATTGTAAATTCTTTTTTACTTATGGGTAGGTATTTCATAGTTTATAGTTGAATAAAATTTAAAGTAATACAATCATGCACCAAAACTACAGATGATCAGATCTATTTATTTTTGTAAAAGTGGGACAGGTATCACCATATAAACTAAAAAGCTCGGTATAAGTGCAGCTTTGTGTCTCTTCGAAATTAAAATAAAGTATAATACAATATGCTAATAAAAGAAAGTCATCGTATTTATTTTTATTATTTATTTTATGTGATAAACTGCTAAAATTATGATTACACCGAGTCACCGAAACCCCAATAGCTTAAACGTTTAAATATTCAAATCTGTACATATTTCACCGTCTGGGCCAGACATGAATATTATAGTAGTACAACAACTAAAAAATCGGTACTGTGCCGCCTAAATCAGAATGTCTGGCGGTCACATTAACCAAGTAGTCTTCGAATAATATAAGTATATATGAATAGGTATGCATTGTGTTTCGTCGACGGTAGACTGTGCGTGGCCAACTCTCTCTCATACACATATTTTATTAAATATATTATAATATTATGTGCAGGACGCAGGTGACGATCATAATACAGCAGGTCACAGGGCAACAGGTGCAACATCTTTTATTGTTGGTACGTGGGTGGGTGGGTTCACACAGTGATTCATTCAGCAACACCATTATATTTACATAGCCGCCACCACTCCTACCAACAAAGTATAGGTACCTATACATATTATTATCTTACCTATACCACTGCTACACAAACTGAATATGATTTTGAAAAGGAATTTTTCGACTCATCGTCAAACACAAGCGAAAATGTTTATAAAAACCTATATCGCCAGCTGCAATATGTACCTATAATTTATATATTTGTATATATAATATTATGTACCTAGTTATTTATTAGTGCTCATGGTGTTATATAATTTAGTAGTACCTAAGCAGTCGTGGGTAGGTACATGCATTTGGTGCAGAAATTTCTAAGCATGATGATATCTAAAATCATAAATTATAACGAGTCTTAAAGTAATTATACACTCTCTAATGGAAATAATTCCTTTCCCAAAAAGCATTCAACTGCTGGCCAACAGATTCATAAATGGTAAATGGATACGCATAATATACCGACTACCGAGATATTATAATAATAATAATAATAATAATAATATTATTGTATTACCGTATTATATTATTATAATAATACGACTTTATGGTTCGGCACGATGTCGGACGTGTTGCATCGGTCGGCACTCGGCAGCCGTCGCGCCGCCGGTGTAGAGTTTCTTCTGTACGGTGCGAACGGGCCCGCCCACAAATGGTAACGGTGTATAGAAGGTCCTTGACAAAACCTACAGGCCACAGTATTATTTAAATTTAAACAACAAAAAAAAACCATCATTATCAACGTCGTTTATGAATTAGTGATAACGGTTCTTCATTCTCTCATCGGTCATTACCGAGACTGATGTTCCTACTGTTTTTAGTGGGTTGTTGCCGCTGTAGGTTGCTGGTGCCTCGTGCGTTTTTTTTTTCTGCCGACGCGTATGACGATTAGAAATTCGAATGATGTAGGCGTACTTGGGAAACGTCTTCCACGCGCATTGAATATTATCTTGGGAATTCGTTTTTCGTTAGTCCGTGTTTGTGCACTTGCGATGTGAACAAAAAATTATGGATCCCTCGAATAGGTAGCCGACATGAAGTGTAAGAATTATTCATCATCATGCTGTGCTACTATAGCTGTTGAATGCGAAGAATGGTTAGACAATGGACACTTAATACTTACTGTTTTTGCAGCATCTGTTCATCTGAGACTTCAATCGTTTTGTATGGTATAACTGTTTGATACGATCATGTTGGTTGCATACTTGTTGTTGGTATCGACTCTTTTTTTCGAAGTCTTGATTTGCAATGCACGAGATGATTATTGCAAAAAATGTGGATGTCTCGGTATGTTTGTGGACTGTAGCAAAAGAATGATTACCACAATTCCAGAAGGATTGCCTCTATGGATTGAAAGTTTGTAAGTAAACTAAATATCCATCCAATACTTAGTCTTTTGTACTTAAATCTGTAAAAAATGCTCTTGTTTCTTTTTCAATATCTTATTTTTATTATGACAACAGTCCAATATCATATTGCCTAAGTAGGTACTTAATATTATTTCCTTATGAATCAAATGCACTAAATTAAATTAAAAACAGTTTTTTCTTTAATAGGTTGTGGTATTAAGCCAAATTTAAAAAGAAAATTGATAGTAATATCCCCTAAATATGGTAACAAACATTGGTGTCGCAATTTAAAAACAACCAATTTTACAATCAATAGGATCTACCAGGAGGATTAATAACAATATTAAATATTCCTATATCACTGTAGCCTATTGCTTTTCAAAATAAACTAAACTAAATMCAACCTAATCTGCCCAAGCATTGTAGTTTTACCTACTTAAAATTAATACACTATCTATATTCGATCAAATTAAATGAACCATTTATTATAAATATTAGTCTGCATTTATCATCGATAATTCTTCCAGATAAAGTACCTACCTAAATTTGGCAAACTTAATCATTAAAAAACTTTACCTCAGATCTTGATACCTACATTAACATTCCAATGGTTAAATTTAATATTTTTATTTTTAGGGATTTGAGTTTAAATAAGATTCATGGAAGTTTGACAATCAACACCAATAATTACTCACAACTAACAGCATTGTAAGTAATCAATATTAAATATATTTAAATTATGTGATGTATTATTTTATTTGGCAACAATAATATTAGTACAGTAGAACACCTATTATCAGGATTATTTTATGTCGAGGATGGTTCAGATACGCAAATATCCAGACTATTGACCATATATTTATCAATACCAATGTTTCGGCAGTAGGTGATGATCAGCGTTCGATAATAATTGTATAGAATAAGTTTTATTTTATATAATATGTATATATTTTGTTTGTTTTGGATAATTGGGGTTCTACTGTAATTAAATTTTATATTATTATTGTTAATTATGAACACAGGTTTAAAATTCTAAATTCTATATAATGGCTATGTAATGCATTATTTTTAAAATTGAGTTTGAAGAGTTATTGAACCACTAGATACTCGTATTGATTGAAATAATTTCATGTATCAATATAATTTAACAAAATTAGTTCTAACTAGTATTACATATTATTATGATTATAAAGTATTTACCTACCGAGTATATTAATAATACANATTAATAAATGTTGTCAACATTTGATCTTTAAATAGTTATAGAAAACAAAAAACATGCCTTTGTATTTTTAATACTTTCTAACTGAGGAATCTCTAAATTTTCAAATCTTAAATCTTATCTTTTTAAGATAAATTTTTATGAGTTTCTAAGGAAATTTTCGTGTTTTTTACGTATTTTGTCAAAATTCGAACTTTAAATGTTTATTAAAAAAATGGTGACTGTATTTTTAATATTTTTTAACTGTCATTGTCACAATATATTAGGAGTCTTGTATTAAATTCTGAAGCTTTTTTTACCAAAACAAAAAAAATTAAAAATTTCAAATGCCTATAAATAAATAAAAAAGATTTGAAATATTTTGAACTTTTATCAAGTATAGAAAATGCCAGTAGGTGAGAAAGGCCGCTCCGAGTGCCCCCCCCCGTAAATCCGCCACTGTAATAATACTTCATTAATTTAACCTTTGACTATGATAAATTTGTTCTAAAATTATACCTATCACTGCACGTTATTCGGGCATTATATAGTGACTCAAATTGAACTTGAACAACCTTTTAAGAGAACATGATACCCGCATGTGTTGTCTCTATCTTACAAGTGCGTGACATACCAATTTTTACGCTCAGCAGAATACTGTTAGTTTAAAATTTAAAGTGAATTGACCTTTCATAAAAATTAAAGGTAACATTATTATCGAGGGCCTCATGGCTTTTTATTTTATTTTTATTTTAGAGCGAGTTATGAGTATTTTAATGTATACAAACAATTTACAATTTTAAAATACTCATTACTCACTTTTAAATTAAAATATAATAAAAAGCCTATAAGAAGCCATCAATAATAATGTTAACTTTAATTTTTATAAGAGGTCAATTCACTCTAAATTTTAAACTCACGGAGCTAAACGTGATCTGCTGAGTGCAAAATTTTCCATGTTACGTACTTGTAAGATGGAGACAACACATGCAGGTTAGGTTTGGAGGTAATCCTCTTAAAATGTAGACTGATCAAGAACACCACGTGGCTATTACTTGACATACTTAAGTAGGGCTGAGATTTGTATGTAAATACATATTTTTAGTAAAACATCATAAATTAATTATTGCAAATGATAAATTCGTTTCACGTAATTTGCAATAAAATAAAACATATTTTATTTTACATATTTTTACATACTTTGTAAAATTCTCGCTTTTTTTTACATATTTCGTAAATTTTGACAATTTCGGTGATTTAGTAATATTTTACATTAATTATATCTCAATAATGGTACTCGGAAAATTGAAAGTGTATAATAATAATGTACATAGGAAATAAGTAGGTTAAAATAAATATTTATAACTTGATTTTAGTTTATCTTATCTGTTTCTGTTCTATAACCATACCTTAATGATCTTAGATTATACTTTATGTTCAACAATTATGTGACAAAATATATTTACGAATTTACAAAAGTATATATCAGACTACCAGTCTTTGTGTTCACGTGGTTATGAAAACATCTTCACCTACGTACATTTAATTTTGAAAATTTAAAAACAATATATAGTTTGTCATTGTTTCACTTTAAATTGATTAAACATCAATTGTATTTCAATTTAACAACATATTTTTTATTTTTACCACAAATTATTATATTTTTTATATTAAATTAATTAGACATAAAAAACAATAAATTGTATTATTCAAAAATTATTTAGAACCGTATTTTAATTTTAAATTTTAACATATTTTTAAAAATTTTCTTAGTAGGACTAGTAGGTACATATTTTTAATTTTATACTACATATTTTGGCAATTTTAATTACATATAAATCCCAGCCCTATACATAAGTTAAATGATTTTAAGTTCAGTTATATTAACTTTCTGTCTTTCTGTATTATTTTTATTATTATTAACTTCACTTAAAAATTTTAAATAAAATTATTTATTTTTTATGTTAATGATAAATGAATTATAACTTCTTTTAAATTCAAGTTTAGTTTATAAAGTTAATTTATAAATAATAAATTTAAAAAAATTATTGTACATAAAAGGAAATTTAAAATATTTTATAATCACATTTCTTGTTGCCAATAGCCAAAATTGTTCAGTAAACAAAACTTCATGACGTATACAAAAATAAGTCCAATTCCTGAATAGTGTAAATTACCTAATAATACATAGTGTTTAGAATATTTGCAATTTGGTGATGTCTGAACTCTATATTTTGTTTCAATTTTTATATTTATATACAACCAATTGTCATTTGTCAACAATGAGTCTTGTTCAGTTTCTGTATATTGTAAGCATTGTACATTTGTACCTATGTAAATTTGATATTTTTAACAGTTATTAAAACGTGTTGAGGAGCCTTGAATTAAATTTTTTATACTCTATTTCAAATAAGATCAGTCTTCAGCGGCGATCAGTTTTTGTCGGGTGGTGGTCAGGCAACACACGCTTGTAACCTCACCTAGTCAATTATCAGTACGACTCAGAAGTTGATGCAAATTGCAATTATTTTTTTTGGAACCTTTTAGACAATGCTCTCCTGGCCGCGTATTTACAGACCGTAACTGAATTCGGCCAAACGGATATGCACATCACCCAATGCGCATGCGCGTGACACACCTGTGTCAATTAGATAAGTTATCACATTCTTATCTCACCTGTTTGTTTACAATTCAAATAAACTATTATTTAGTTCACCAATTTACTGTAATTATTTTAATTATTCATCAGTTTATAATGTTTATAATGTTTTTATCAAGAATATAGTTCTTCTATATAAATTATCCATCAAATATACAACATATACAATATAATCACTTAATATTTTAATGCACAAAATGAAAATTAAATTAAGTGTTTTTATGTTTAAAATAAATTGMAAAAATGTAATACTTTTGTAAAAAGCTAATAATAACCTGTGCAGTTGATGMTAAATAATCAAAAAAAAATAATTGCACAAGTATCTTCTAACTTGTATATTTTAACCTTTTATGTCAATCAATAAACATTGTTTCTTCAACTGTTTGTATATTATTATTATTTATATATCACAATAACATAATATTGTTGATATTGGTTTATTTCWATGGTTATATCTAACTTAGTTAGGTACTTAATATATTATCCTAGATTTCAAGTAAAATCCCAATAAACCACAGATAAGATATTTCTTTTTGTAGATTATTATTGAAGAATAATTATCTGCTCTATTTATCTCAAACATTTTTTTTTCTGTTYTTCAGTATAGTTCACTTAGGTCAGTGAACTGTTTATAGTGAMGTKTTAGTTTTCAATTATTKAAGTTTTCTTGTGTTCGTTGTGAGTTTTGTCAAGATGTCTAAAACTATTAATTTTAATTTTGATATCTTTTCTAAAGTAATTAGTACCACTGGAAATAATTACTTGATCCGTACAAAATTTACTGTAGAAGAAAATAGTTCATTTAGTGACCTATGTAACAATTGGGTTCAAAATTTTTCTACAGTAACCAAAACAAATTGGATTGTGTTTAAGACTTAACCTAATAAACAGCGATACGCATATAGGAAAGATTATGTGTGACAACATGCGTCAAAACACAAAAGTCTTTCTGTTCAACAAACGCCTGACAAAAACAGAATTAGAAATTACAGAATTAATTTTACATTTTATATACATTTTTATATTTTATTGACTGTACCTACCTTTTTTTTATGGTATGAAGAATGAAATATGAATTAGTTTTTAAATATAAAAATTACTTAGATCATAATATATCATCGTACATTAACTAAGGAAAATTATAAGAATGTGATAACGTATCTAATTGACACAGGTGTGTCACGCGCATGAACATTGGGTGATGTGCATACCCGTTTGGCTGAATTCAGTTACGGTCTGTAAATACGCCTCCTGGCCACAAATCTGTTTCATTAGCATGTGAATCTGAATACCTAATTTTTATTTTGGATTTTTTGGTGTTTATTGCTTTTTAAGTCATTTTCCCACATTTTTAGTCATTTTTATTGATATCACACTAGTTCAGTTCTTATCGTTTCTTGTCCACCATTATGCTGATAAATTAAAACTTAGAAATTACCACAGACTAAGATTTTATTAGACTAGTCGTAGATTCATTTTTAAGTACATTTTTGTCATTTTTATGTCATATTTTGAGTAACTCGAAGCTTGATAAATTTATATAGAATTTTATAATAAAATATTTTAAAAATGTATTTTTATTAATTTAAAACTAATACCTATTTGTAATTTTTTAGGTAATTTTTTAAGAACATTTTTTTCCCATTTTAATGTTATTTGCATATTTTGTAGGTCATTTTTTATTGCTTTTTAAGTGCATCAACTTTTGAGCCCTAATAACGATATACGATTTAATACTGAACCAAGAAACTCAGATAATAATGTTGTATAGTGTATACTGTATACATATCGATTTTATTAGATTTTAATATCATCGTACGGGCTTGTATATTGATTATTTATGGGTATTGACAATACGATAATAAATTTATTACATAAAAATCATGTTGTATTTCCGTCTTAGTAAGAATTTTCATCAAATTTCATTACAAAAATGTGTCCGTTTCCGGCTTGGCAAAGTTTCCGTCTTAGCGGGATAAAATTGGATGTTATTTGAAACGGGACCAAAAAAATTTTCCGTAATACCTGGGTTTCCGTCTTACCGAAGGTCCGTCTTAGCGAAGTTTTACTGTATATATATGACCTTACTGTCGCTGGCTCAAAGTGTGAAAAATTGTGCCCAAGACCAATTGCTGCTCTTGGTTTGCATATGTAAATTAGTAATTTTCCCTCTCAGAGTATAGATCAGGGATCACCAACTGGCGGACCATGAGCACTTATTTACGGACCCTTATCTATTGAGTAATTTTTATAGTTTAAATAAATAAAAATTATTAATGTGTCATATAAAATTTATATTTCGATAGCAGAATTATCTAAGTAGTGGAAAATAATCTGTATTTCTATATTTATAAATGGGGAAGCCAATGTTTAAATGTTAATTATAAATCCGATAATAAACATTAAATTAAGAATGTACCGCCAAACAGCTATCTGTGTAGAAAGTGTGGTATTGTGCTGTTAAATGCTGTACGTGTCATGACAGACAAGTTTCGAGTATATACATTCGATAGAATTAAAATGTATATATTAATGTGTGTAAAAGCCATAAAACTGTTAGGGACTGTGGCCAGTTTGGTAAGTTTCTAAACCAACCTCCATTGAAATTAGTTGGTGACCCCTGGTATAGAGCTTAAGTTAGAATATTTTCATTGAACATGTCTTTCATATTTAGTATTAACTCAAAGATTTATAATAGTCCTTATCATTATCAATTTAGGTACTTTTAAATATTATCATAAATATATGTAGAAAAGTAGAAAATATTGTTGTGATGCACTAAAATAATGTTTTTTTCACTTTTGACTTAGATTGTGCGTATGTAACTAGTAGTGCTTATTGAAAAATTGTGTGCATAGTTAGTTATTAATTTTATGTTATAATTTATTTGTATAAGGCTTAAGAATTAATATCTAACTAAAATGTGTTACACCAAATTATATTTTATATTCAATAAATTATTAAAAATCTAATGATTGACTTTTTGTATTTTTWGGACACTTAGTAAGAATTCAATTTCATCTTTTCCTATCTTCGTAAACAAATCAATTATCAATAATTTAAATTTGTAAGTACAATTTTGTTCAAACTTAATCAAGTGTTATATTTTAATACTGATATTAAGTTATTTTTAAAATATTTAATTTCAGAGCACATAACAAAATAAAAAAATTGGAGGGTTTAGAAAATTTACCCAACTTAAAAAATTTGGACATGAGCAAAAATAAATTAGTATTTTTGGATGATAATTCTTTTATACAATCTACACATTTGAAAACTCTGTTAGTATAACATTCAACATTTCAACTCATTCTTCAATAATTATAAACTATAATATAAATTTTAATAAATCTACTGTATTTTTATTATAAATGTATGTATATATTTAGAAATCTCAACAATAATTTGATCACCAACTTAAGCGCAAATTGCTTTGACACATTGACAAATTTGGGAGAGTTGAAAATATCCCATAATAAGCTGGACAATTTACCTGTTGGATTATTCAAAAAACTTAAAAATCTTGAATTACTGTAAGTATTGATTTCGCATTAATGTATGCATCTTTCTTTATGCCTTTTTCTTCAATTTCTATTGTCTATTAATAACATTTTAATTTAATTTAAACAATTATTGGTTATTTTTAGCGATTTAAGTAGAAATCATATAACTGTCATTCATGGTTTATTATTTATGGACTTGGTAAATTTGAAAACAATAATACTTCGACATAATTTTATTGAAGATTTGCAAGATGGTTCATTTTTCGGCTTGATCAATTTACAATCATTGTAAGTATTGTTTATAATAAAATATGTAAATGCATTATCAATCCAATTTAAAATGTTAACTACCAATATTGGCAACGCGATTAAATTGTTTTAGTAACTTTTATTTTTTAAATGCAGACATCTAGAAAATAATAATATAAGCAAAATATMCAAAGGTTGGTTATATGGATTACAATCACTTATCTACTTAAATATAAGTTATAACAGAATAGATCAAATAAAAAGTGGATGGGAATATTGTGCTGAACTTGAAGAATTGTGAGTAATATGTGAAACATTACAATTTTGTTAAATAATCGTTTTTTTAATGCTCTGAAAACATTTTTTTAAATTGATATTTATAATAATATTGTATAATGTATATTCATGAATATTTTTGTTAATTCACTTGTGTATAATTTTGTTTATTTAGGGATTTGTCTTATAATAAACTACAGTACATTGAAAAGAGTAATTTAGAAAATTTAAGGAAATTACGTAAGCTACATTTAAATAATAATAGATTATCATTCATTGAAGAAGGATCATTTAATAATACACCAATGATCCGATCACTGTAAGTTACATTTATACTGTATATAATTAGTCAAATTTACTATATTATTATCTATAGTATCTGTATTGTATAACTTTTTTAATGGTGTCAGCTGTATGAAGTATGGTTGAAAGTTAAATATATTGATTTGTATAATTAATTTATTTACTACACCATTAAACTTTTTATTTACTACTTTTGTTTTTTCATAAATATATAAATTGTAACATATTATATTTTATTTTCATTGTTTTAATTATTTATAGAAACATATTTGCCTTATAAAACTACATTTCTGTTTTTAGTCAAATGGATCACAACTATTTGTCGTGGCTAATTGAAGATGCAAAAGAAACTTTTATTGGTCTAAGAAATTTGAAAAAATTAAGTTTAGCTAATAACAAAATATTGTTCATTAAAAAAGAAGCCTTCACTGGCTTAGACAATTTAGATGAATTAAATTTACTTCAAAATAATGTCCTAGAAATTCAGGATGAAGCATTCAAATTTATGCCTAACCTTGTACATCTTTATTTAAATAGTTCTTCACTAGTATGTGATTGCTCAATGGCCTGGCTCAAACAACCAAATGTATTTGAGAATTTACCATTTGATTACATAAATGCGTTTTGTGGCTTCCCAGATATAAACAAAGGAAAAAATTTGAAAGAAATTTCCTTAACAGACTTTGTTTGTCGTATGTATTAAGTATCTTAATTTTAAATTACAACACTAATTTATTTTTATTTTAGTCCAAAGCAGTCCAAAACCTATGATAATATTTCATCCGGAATCAAAAATGGTTCTTGAACGGCAAAATATTACCTTAAAATGTGGAGTTAATTCTTCATCAGGTGAAAAAATTAATTTTGTTTGGAAAAAAGATAATCACGATTTAGACTTGATTTCTACTAATCATTACTCATCTATTGAGTCCAATGGTATGACACAATTTTCCATTTTGAACTTGTATAATATATCAATGTCACAAAGTGGTAAATATCAATGTGTTGCTTCCAATGAATTTGGCATCACTTATTCTAATCGTTCAATTTTATCAGTTGTTGGTAAGTATCAAAGAGATTTGGCAAAATAATAGTTGAATATTTATCATATTTTTTATTTTCAGTTTATCCATTTTTCGCTAAAGTCCCTGGAAATAGTTCAGTAAAGACAGGCCTCACTGCTAAGTTAGAATGTGCTGCAAATGGTTATCCAGCACCTCAAATATCTTGGCGAAAAGATGGTGGAACTGATTTTCCTGCAGCACTAGAGCGCCGTTTGAAAGTTATGGCTAGGGATGATGTATTTTTAATTGTCGATGTAAAATTAGTTGATATGGGCATATATAGTTGTACTGCCAAAAATGTTGCTGGAATGATTGCTGCAAATGCAACACTTAATGTTTTAGGTATAAAAATATTAATGTTATTCCTTTAAAAAAAATATTTATTGTCTTATAAGTTTTTATTTTTTACAGAACCTCCTTGGTTTAAAAGTGAAATGTCTGACAAACAAGTAAGGGTTGGTGAAGAAGTCGTTTTAGAATGTTTAAGTAATGGATCTCCAAAACCTAAAATAAGATGGATTAAAGACGGCATTTCTCTTACCTTGAGTAACAGACATTTTTTCACCGCCGAAAATCAACTTTTAGTTATTATGGAAGCAAATACAGACGATTCGGGCACTTATCAATGTGAAATAACTAATTCTTTAGGAGTAAATAGTCAAAAAGCTGATATTCTAGTTATGCCATGTAAATATTACTTTGTGTACATAAAATATTTTCTTGATTAATACTTTATTTGTATAAAAATTATATTAAATTAAAATCTCAATATCTGATAATAGTTGTTGAACAGTTATCACAAAGTTGTTAATCAATTCATAATTTGTATTTCTTTTATGTTAAATAATAACTAAATTACTTAAATTATTACTTACTCAATAAATATCACTACCAACTGGATAGATATTTTATTTATAATGTACTCAGTACCATTAATATTTTATTTTTAAATGAATCTTATAAAATTTACCGAAACTGCTTTTAAATGAAAAATAATATTCAATAATACATATTAAATTAAACAATATACTATATGTCATAAAAAAAATAACTATTTTATAAATAGCTTTTAACTAACTAGTACAAATTCATAAATTTATTTGTGTATTAATTTTAAATATTTTTTACTGAAATTGTTAATTGTCGTTATTAGTTATATTCCTCCCATAAAATGTATATTTAAATTTTAAGGATCAGGTCTTAAGATAGATTAGGAACATAAAAAAATTTGTTTTTTTTCTCCTAAAGAAATGATTCGATATAATATTCATATTATAAAACTAAAAATTTCTTTGAAATTATTATAGTATTAATTTTTATATAATATATAAGGTTATATTGTTTTAATTTAATTTTAAACTTTCTAGTGTATCGCAGTTTAATTCATGAATATACTCTTGGATTGATCGTCATTGCAATAATTGTATGCATAGTGATTATATCAGCAATTTGGGTATTATTTGTTTATAAAGCCAGGCGCCCTTCTCCAAATTTAATAAATAGTGCTGATAACAAATCATTGGATTCTTCAAACAGCAAGGACAGTGGTACCGGGGAATCCACTAAAAGAAGTCAAGAACAATTATTTAATGAATGTAAATCTTATAACATTTTTAGAAAAAATTAAATCACTACAGTATATTTTTTTAATTTTTCAGGTTTGAATGATGGTCCAAAATTGAATAATAATGTAGGCAATTTATCACCTGATATAAATTTGCCGTTACTTACACATGCTTCTGTTATTTTGGGCGAGAATTCAGTCACATACAGAAATTCAAAAACAGCTACTCCGCCCGCCCAATCACCAATTCAAGAACCACATGGAATTGTTGAAGATTCAATGAAATGTATTGATATCTCTGAAAGACCTTGCTCCACACCCGTTCTTCCGCCAAGCGAAGCTCTGGATTCACCACCAATTGTTCAAAACTAAAGTTCCCATATAGGCTCATACAGCCTACTGATGATCCTTGTTAGTTCATCATTTGATCTGATTATTTTTTAGCTGCCTATGGTATTATATATAATGTATATATATATATTTTTTATTATTCCAATTTAATCCTACTTAGATAATGAAATGTCAAAATGGTTCCTGTCTTTAATTTTTATTTTTAATAACTTTAAGATTCTTTTATGTAAGTATATTAACAGGATAATGTAAATAATTTTATTTTATTTAAACCCTTGGCATAGATAGTTTATTTAAAATGAATTATATTTATTGAGATTGCCATTTCCATAAGCTAACTCAATTATAAAAATGAATTTGTATGTATTACTGTTAAAATGCTTTCAATATCTTACATGTATTGTTGTTAAACTTTATATGACCATTAATAGCATGTACCTGAATTTTTAAACATCTATTGATGGTTAATTAACAATTTAATTACCTACTACTAAATTATTACACACTACCTTAAACTCTCGATTATCTGTGGTTTTCGGCTGAACTACAAGAATTATGTAAATAAAGTAAACACATTTATACTATATAAAAAATTATAAGAGAACATCCCAATTTTTAAAACATTTGCCCCGGAAAGCTATATTGTTATGTACCAATCCTGTTTCATTCAAGGATTTTTAAATTAAAAGATGAACATTTGTTTTTTTCTCCTAACCTAAAAATATGGTTATCTATGGTTTCCATGCCACTATTTAGCAGTTGATCGAGAGTTTACTGTACCTATTTTTATTACTATTGTTACATCTTCTATTTAAAATACATATTTTATAAGGTACATCTTTAAAAATGTGTAAGTGTATTATGGATCTCATTACAAATATTTTTACAATAAACTACTCGTATTTTGTACTACTTAATTAAAACTTATAATAATAATAATAATAATAACAACAAATAAAATACAAACATTTAATAATATTTTGATTATTTATTTATTTTTAATTTTTAAAATTATTAAACAAAATAGATCATGAAAATGTGTCAACCTTTAACTATCAAGATTATACTTAGCATTAGGTATAAAGTAATCAAATTCGAATCATTCATGTTAAAGAAATCCTTGTTAAAATATTATAGTTATGTGATGAAAATATTAACTGGTTGCCAGATTTCTGTAAAAGTGTAGAAGCAGATTACTTGTTATCAGAATCTCACAATAACTCAATCTGAGTTTTATCATCCTACTGTTAGACGACGGCGCGGCAGTTTGGCCTTCCCATTCTGAATTTCTTGAATTATTTTTTCTACAGCCAGTCATCTCATTCTTTTCCAAAACCATGATTAAAATATTTTTTATCTGAAATATTATACATATTGGAAATACATGTGTACTGTAGTAAATTTTTTTCATATGTATAATAAAAAAATATATTCAAGTAAGACCAATTTTTGACTTGGTAAATTTGAATCCTTAAAAAAAAATTGATATGTAGAAAATTGGGCAACGTCAATATACCAAGCAACATATCTAGATTATATAATCAAAACTACACTCATATCATACAACATAGACCAGTGGAAACCGTAAAGGAACATCAAATGCAATATTTCAATTTCTAAACTCTATTAATTACTAACTAAAAAACTTCACTGACATTTTTTTGTGCAGTGGGATAGGGGGTTTGAAAAAATAACAAAAATAAAAACTACCTATTTTCCTAACAATTAAGCACATAAATATTAATAGGTAGAATAACAAAACATATCCAAAGGGTTACATAAGTCATAGCAGTTAAATACTAATGTCTATTTAGTATGAATGTAATATGTATATAAATAATATACAGAATATTATACATATTATATTATTTATTATTTAATTATTTATTTATAATAAAAATTCTAGACACTTTTTTATTGAATAGTTCAACCAGCACTTCATCAGGAGTAATAGAATCGTTTTTGTTGATTGAGAACATAGCTAAACCATTAAGTCTTCCCTATTCAAATGTATTACAACATTAAATTAAGTTGATTATAATCATTAGAGCTCGGATGCCTAAAATATACATTTAAAAAGTCAAAATATGCAATAATATGCTATAAACTATATTAAATATAACTAATTTTTCTACAAATTTATGCAAAAACAGGGTTAATATTAATTCAAAAAATATATACTTTTTAATTATTGTGCATTTAAAATTACTTAATTACAAAATACACAGCTATTAAATACGATAAAAATAAATAACGATTACTTTATTCAGTTTATTCAAAACAAATTTTACATAGGTTTAGTACTTTAAGTACTAGAATTGCACTGTATAACAATTATTTTTTGATATTTCAAGAATTGAAAGATTTTCGACGATCCAATAATATGTTTTCATAGATCAAAAAAGTACCGCTCCACGTCTACTAATAGTTGATGGGTGCAAATTTAAATTCAACAATGTCGTCAGTTTCCATACCCACTGTGCCGCTGGTTTATAAATATCTAATTTCCTAATTTTCTTTTTTAGTCAACCCGCGGGTGTATAGGGAGAGAACTGTAGAGTTTTAAGTTGGGTAGTTTTTTGGTACACGTGTGTGTGTGTTTTTGGAAATATTTCTAGTGGGCACCCGTAGGTTTTTGACATGCCCGATTGGGGGCGGCCGTCTTTCTCTCCAGACAGCGTGAATTGCCCGGAAAGTGATGCTGCCCATGACCGGGATTCGAACCAGCGACGGTGTGCGTCGCAACCGACGCCTAAATCCGCCCGGCCATTACACCCCACATCTCCTAATTTTATGAGTGTGTTACACTGTTACTCATAAACTCAATAAGATTAGTGATAATTTTTTTTTTTATTGAAATATTACAAATTAACAATGAAAAATTATAATAATATGGACAATTTTTAATATTATATTTATAATTTATAACATGTATATGCTAAATAATCTAGAAATAATTTATATATGCATTTATATGTTTAAAAATGACAAAAATGCCAAATAAGTTTACATGTTAGTAATCCAGGCTTCATGAATTGAATTTATATCATACTCAGGTATAACTCTGGATTCATGATAAAATATACTAATTCATAAACATCCAAGCTCTAAATATTCATTAATATTTAATACTATTAAATATTTAAATTAAACATTAAACATATCTCAGAAGTAGAGTTGTGTAAATAACAGTTCAGAGCGATAAAGCGTAACAATGAAACCACGA